CACGTGTGGTGCTGGTACTGTATGTAGTAGGGTCTCTAAAAAAAAAAAAATGGTGCTACGTGAATGAACATTTTTTACACCCCCTAAGAGAGACTGAGCCACGTCCATGCCCTGTCTCATTACACCTCTGTATTCCTTCTCTATCCTAATCCTTAGCCTCATCATTCTGTCCCACAGATTGTCGTAGACCATTCAAGTGATAACATAAAACTTTTATTTTCAGCATGATGGGTCCAGCCAACTCAGTATCCTGACGCTGACATCGATAACCGTAAATGTGTGGTGAGGTTTATTGACTAACCCTTTATTACCACTTTCCAAGCTTCACCTCCAAGTTAGTAGAGAAAATCTGGGGACACAGATAATGCTGCTAGAAAGGGGTCTTCCATCCTAGGCGAATCAGACAGATGCATTCTCAGGTAAAACGGGCCCTTTTTGTAATGAGAACACATCCAGCAAAAAAACAAAAGGGCAAATTACTCTTAGAGAATAGCAGTTCTTTATTTCCCAAGAGACAGATAAAGTCCACACTAATAAAAAGTAAATGAGTTCTTCATGTGAGACTAGAGTGTGTGGTCTTCAGAAGAGAAAATAATGCAGACCTGAGTTGTGTTTGCTTCTGGGTAATTTGGAGGAAAACTAGCCACAGCCACTCCCTGTGAAAAGCCAAACTGGGGATAAAGCACACAATAGTAAACATTTTTAAACTACTTTACACAACAAGCACGGTTGAGCTTTCAAATAGACTTCCAGAAAGTCTCTGCTTTACATTTGCATAACTAATGGCACTGTTCAGGAGGTCTTTCGAAAATAAAATTTGCACAAAGATTAAAGTGCACTCATCATTTGCAGCTTAAAAAACAATCTGCTCTCTGAAAGGACAGTTTTCTTAGCTCAACCTTTACTCAGAATTCAATGCTGCTGGGCTGGCAGCTAAAGGTTACTTCTCTTCTTATTGTTGCTCTAGGAATCCCCCTGCCTTTTCAGTTGCACTTGGTAGCTATGTTTTATAGAGAGTCCAGGTCTGCCTAAAATTTGAAGATTACTCTGTCCTGGTTTCAACAAGAATAGTTTTTTGTCTCCATTTACATTTATATAATTACTGGTATATTTGGATTTATGCCTACCATCTTCTATTTATTTTCTGTGGCTCCCTTATTCTTATCTCTTTTCTCTTCTTTCTTTTGAATTAATTAAAATATTTAATTATCGCATTAAAACCCCCTCTATAAATTAGTTAATCTATACATTCTCTTGCTAGTTTTAGAGATTACAACATTCTTTTTGATTATTACCTCTAATATATAAATTATCTGTAGTAGTATATTACTTACACTACTTCCTCAGGAAGCTATGCCATTAGAGATTACTGTACTTTGCTCCATTTACCCCTCCCCCTTTTGTTTTCATGTTGTCATGGGTTTTAGTTGTAGATATATTTTAAGCCATACGAGATTTTATATTATGTTCTGTACAATCAATATTCTTTACTTACATATTTATCCGTCTAATTTGCTCTTCATTCCATTATTCATTTCTATGCCCTGCTGAATTCTTTTCTCCAGTTTGAATAATTCCTCTGCTTTGCAACAGATCTGCTGGATGAGTTCTCTTCAAGGTGTTCAGGTTTTTCTTATTTTTGTTTTTGGTGTTTTTTCTCCTTAAAACTGACACTGACATTGATTATCCTTATTATCCTTCATATTTTTGTAGGGCATAGCAATTCTAGTATGGCACTTTTTTCCAGCACTTTTAAGACATTCTTCCATTATTTTCGGTTTCATCATCCTTTTACTTCTTTTTTTTTATTTGAGACAGAGTCTCGCTTTGCTGCCCAGGCTAGGAGTGAGTGCCGTGGCGTCAGCCTAGCTCACAGCAACCTCAGACTCCTGGGCTCAAGCGATCCTGCTGCCTCAGCCTCCCGAGTAGCTGGGACTACAGGCATGCGCCACCGTTTGAAGGCATCAGAGAGCTGCTGAGGCAACCAGGACTTATGAAGATACAATCTCAGAGAAGGGGCACTGTGCCTAAAGGTGAGCTGACATTCAGCAGTACCTTTGTCCCTTGGGGAGATTTGGGGCATAAATCCAGAGTCTGAGTTTTGATTGTGAGCACAGAAAGAGGCCCTAAAAGACAAAGACACCACAAGAGATGGTTATCAAAAATATGAAGGATAATAAGGATAATAATGTCAGTGTCAGTTTTTAGGAGAAAAAAACCCCAAAACAAAAATAAGGAAAAACCTTGAACAACCTTGAAGAGAACTCATCACCAGCAGATCTGTTGCAAAGCAGAGGAATTATTCAAATGGAGGAAAAGAATTCAGACAGGGGCACAGAAGTGAATAATGGAATGAAGAGCAATATAGAGGATAAATATGTAAGTAAATGAATATTGATTGTACAGAACATTAACTATAAAATCTCGTATGGCTTAAAATATATCTACAACTAAAACCCATGACAACAATGAAAACAAAAGGGGGAGGGGTAAATGGAGGCAAAGTACAGTATTCTAATGGCATAGCCTTCCTGAGGAAGTAGTGTAAGTAATATACTACTACAGATAATTTATATTAGAGGGTAATAATTCAAAAAAGAATGTTGTAATCTCTAAAACTAGCAAGAGAATGTATAATTAATAATTTAATAGAGGGGGTTTTAATGGCATAATTAAACTATTTTAATTAATTCAAAAGAAAGAAGAGAAAAGAGATAAGAATAAGGGAGCCACAGGAAAATAAATAGTAAGATGGTAGGCATAAATCCAAATATACCAGTAATTATATTAAATGTAAATGGAGAAAAAAACTATTCTTGTTGAAACCAGGACAGAGTAATCTTCCAATTTTAGGCAGACCTGGACTCTGTATAAAACATAGCTACCAAGTACAACTGAAAAGGCAGGGGGATTCCTAGAGCAAAATAAGAAAGAGAGAAGTAACCTTTAGCTGCCAGCCCAGCAGCATTGAATTCTGAGTAAAGGTTGAGCTAAGAAAAACTGTCCTTTCAGAGAGCAGATTGTTTTTTAACTTGCAAATGATGAGGACTTTAATCTTTGTTGCAAAATTTTTATTTTCGGAAGACCTCCTGAACAGTGCCATTTAGTTATGCAAATGTAAAGCAGAGACTTTCTGGAAGCTATTTGAAAAGCTCAACCGTGCTTTGTTGTTGTAAATAGTTTAAAATTTTTACTATTGTGTGCTTTATCCCCAGTTTGGTCTTTTCACAGGGATGGCCGTGGCTAGTTTCCCTCCAAATTACCCAGAAGCAAACACAACTCAGGTCTGCATTATTTTTCTTCTGAAGACCACACACTCTAGTCTCACATGAAGAACTCATTTACTTTTTATTAGTGTGACTTTATCTGTCCTCTTTGGGAAATAAAAACCTTGCCTATTCTCCTAAGAGATAATTTGCCCTTTTTGTTTTTTTTCTGGATGTGTTTTCATTACAAAAAGGGCCCGTTTTACCTGAGAATGCATCTGTCTGATTCGCCTAGGATGGAAGACACCCTTTTTAGCAGATTATCTTGTTCCCCAGATTTTCTCTACTAATTTGGAGGTGAAGCTTGGAAAGTGGTAATAAAGGGTTAGTCAATAAACCTCACCACACATTTACGTTATCAATGTCAGCGTCAGGATACTGAGTTGGCTGGACCCATCATCTGAAAATAAAAGTTTTATGTTATCATTGAATGGTCTAGACAATCTGTGGGACAGAATGATGAGGCTAAGGATTAGGATAGAGAAGGAATACAGAGGTGTAATGAGACAGGGCCTGACGTGGCTCAGTCTCTCTTAGGGGTGTAAAAAATGTTCATTCACTAGCACCATTTTTTTTTTTTTAGAGACCCTACTACATACAGTACCAGCACCACACCGTGCTGCCACTGGAGGTGCAAACAGGTGCCACAAGAGAGCACTTACGTGGGAAAATATTCATAAAACACATATAAAGCCCACACATTCAGTGCAAAATGCACAGAGCAAACGATCACCACTACAGAAGTTCAGAAAAGGAAGTAAACGTGGGAGTTAAGGCACTGGGTGAGAGGGCGGGGAGGTTTTGGGGGAGGGCAGTCTAGGCACAAGGCGGATAAAGGACAGGTAGTAGGGACACACCTCCGCACAGACGCATTAAACACTTAGCACGTCTTTTCACGGGCATTTACTGCCTTTCCAGTGAATGCAGAAACAAAAGTATGACTGGCGCTGTGCGCCGGAGAGTTTACAGTGGGTGAGAGACCAGACAAAGAAACACACGTGCAGCGGCGGCAGAGGACAGACGGGCCGTGGAAAAGTGCCTGTCCGGCGCGGCCGCGAACGGGCGCGACTCCGCCGGGGCGTGGCGACAAGCCCGGCTTCCGGCCGAGGCCGCCCGGGCTCCGAGCGTGCGCCCCGACGCGCCGCGCGGCCCGCCGGCCTCCGCCGCTTCCCACAGACGGGGCCGCGGGCAGGTCTCGCGCCGCGCGCGCGTCGGAAGCGCGCCTAAGTTTGCACCCTCTCCCCGCCTCGCACCTGCGCCGCCGCCGGCAGCGCTGAGGGGACTTGCCGACGGCAGACGCCGCCGAGTGGCCCCCGCCTGGTGCCGGACTTCCGTGCCACCCCGAAGCCACCCCGCCCTGGCGCCCGCCCTCAGTTTCCCCCAGCTGTGGAGTGGGGGCACACCGCCCCATTGGCTCCCCGGTAGCTGCCCGACGCCGGCGCGTGAGAAAGGACCGCGGGAACCCCGTCGCCGGCCTCCCGCCCCACCAAGTCCCCCGCCCCCTTTGGCTTTGGCCTTTTGTACCGGCCCACGTGACCCCGCGGCCGGCTCTTCCCTCCCGCCCCGCCCTCCGGCCTTTCCCGGCTCTCGGCCCAGCTCTTCCCGCTCCGCGGCCGCCCCCCTCCCTTGCTCCGCGTCCTCCTCCTCCCCCGCGCCTCCCGCCTGGGCTGTTCCCGCTCCCTCCCCCAGGCAGCCGTTCCCTCGCGACGCTTCCCCTCCCCCCGCGGCTGTTCCGCCGCCTCGCCGCCCCTCCCCCCGGCCGGAGCTCACTGTCTCCAAGATGGCGGCCGTGTCAGTTTGGGGCATCTCCGCGGTCCGGCCCGGCGCCCCGGGATCCCGGCTCTCTTTCTTCCCGGTAAGTAGCCGAGGGGCCACCGCCGGCCGCCCCCGGCCGCCCAGCCCGAGGCTGCGCCGCTCCGGGGCCGCTCGGCCGCCTCGCGGGGTCGGCGGGCCGCTGCAGGCCCCGCCGCGGCCTGCGCCGCCTCCCGCTGCTCTGCGCCAGGCCTCGGGCTGGGCGCCGTGGCGCCCCCTCGCGCCGGCCGGCGCCGCTCCCCGCCCGCCGGCCGCGCCGCCGCCCGGTCCCGCGCTCGCGGCCGGCGCTCCGCGCCCCGCGGCCGGCCCACGCCGGGGAGCCGGCGCGCCAGCCGCGGAGCCTCGGGCTGGGCTGTGCCCGCAAGCCCGCTCTCCCCCGGGGCGCGCCCACCGCCCAGTCCCACCTGCGCCCGGCCGCTCGCCGCCCGGGGCCGGGCACTTCTCCCGCGCTCGGGGCGCCCGCTCTCCGGCCCTCGGGCGGGGGGCGCGGGGATCCGCGCCGGGCTGAGGCGGCGAGTGGGGGTGACAGGCTGGCGGGTGTTGTGGTGCGGAGGAGGCAGCACGTGTGGTGTTGTGTCTGTCGGGCTGTCAGCCCGGCGCGGGCGGGAGGCGGCGGGCCGCCTGTCATCCTCGCGGTTCGGGCGGGAACTGCCGGACCTGTCAGGCTCCCGGCCGCCGGCGCGCCCCGCGCCCCCCGCGCCCCGGCCGCCGGCGCTCGGCGCTCGGAGGGGCCGGGCCCGGGCCGCGCCGCTCAGAACTCCTTCACGTGATTTCATTGTTAACTTACTCCTCGGTTCCGTGTCCGCCTCACGGGAGCGGCGGGGCGCCCCGCCGGCGAGCTGCAGGGCTGTGCCGAGTCAAGTTCTTAAAGTTTCTCGCTCTTGGAAAAGAGAGCGCGAAGCCGCGTTTGGGGGTGGGGAGCGGGCTCGGGAGGGACTGTCGGCGGCGAGTCGCGCGCTCTCCCGCCGCCGGTGTACTTCCCGAGAGTTTGGGTTCGGGTCTGCGGCGCTGCGCGCGGGGGACCTGCCGACTGGTGGGAATCCGGCCGGAAAGACAATGAGTGACTGTCATCCCTTCCCTTGCCTCCGCGCCGAGTCGGTCCGGACGTTCCCAGCTTTGTAGGCTTAGGTCGCAGCCTCTCGTTTAGTTCAGCCTCGACGTCTACGTGATGAGGTTTCCTTGGGGTCATGGTGCTCTGATTTCTGCCCGCTGGAGACCCTTACCAAAGCGAAGCATTGTAGCAGCTCTCTCTGGGTGCTTCTTTTTTAGTCAGCTCATTTTAAAAATGAAATCTTGGCTCAGGTTTGTTTGAGTGTTTGCTGTTGCTTTCAGCCTTTTCTTTCCCACCTGAGTTAATAGTAATATCTCTTTCTTAATATCTGTTAGTTTTTCTTTTGATTTTAATGTCACTGCTAGGAATAGTTGCTGTGGGAGCCGGTTTTTTTTTGTTTGTTTTTTTTTTTCCTAGCATTGTTTATATTGTAATGTAAATGATCCCCGGCGTGAGAGAAGTTCTAAAGAACATTTTCAGTTAAACTTATTTTTGGAGGGGAAGGAATTATCTAGATTCAGAATTCACTGTTTTAGTAATTTTAAAAATTTTGTATCTGCCAGATTCTTTTGTATGGAAGGATTTTAACTTTGATCTAGAGAGGCAGTATATTTGTGTTTTGTGTTTTATTAATATTCATTTCAGGATAGCAGTCTTGAATTAGTATCTTTAGTAGATCGACTTCTCTTTAGACTCACAAATAGGGAATACATTACTGTGCTTTTGATATGTGTTATGTGCATTTGACCCTAGTGATTCTGGGCCTTTCTCATTTATAGTTTTCTACCTGTATATTGCTTATACACAATTTGACAGTTGTTATTCCCTCTAGTATGTGGATATTAGTATCTTAGTTTGGGTTAGGAGAAGCTATCAGCATGTAATTCTTGAAATTGGATTATTTTAAAATTCTTTAAGCACTTTTCACATTAGGCTATTTTCAGTGTTTTGTTTTCTGTTTTGAAAACTTAAAGTAATGTTGTACTTAAATTATAAACTGGGTCCGTGTAAATTGTATTTGTTGTTTCTTTTAATATATGAAATAGTTAACGTTTTCTCAGTCATTTTCTACCTATCTTGACTGTTTTTATCCACCCTGAATGTCTGGAATTTTGAAAGATGGAAGATTCACTCTTACTTTCATTGCAGGATTCTTTCTACTAATCCAGATACTTGTTGAAGTGCTGAATAGTTTCTTGGGGAAAGATGTCAAGGAAGAGTTGAAATTCATAGACTGGTGAGCAGAGATTGTGGAGTACAGAATAGCCAGCACCCCTTCTGGTTAGTTGTAGTTTAGGTCATTCATAGAACATCTCATCTTGTTTCTTTATTGTATCCTAATCACTCATCTTTTTTTTCTTTTCTTTTTTATCCCAGTGGTTTACATATATTATTGTTTTGGAATGTTAATAGAAATGTGCTAAAACTCTTATGGGTGCCCAGTAAACACTTGCTACTTGGTTGCTTTAAAAGACTAGAATACTTGTTTTCAAAATGGGCTTTGGTAGAACACTAACCTTGTTTTAATTGTTTTTCAGGCATAAGAAGCACATTTTTCTGCTCTGAAGCTGGGAATGAGATATTCTTGAGTTCTTACAACTTTATGAAGAGACCCATGTGTGGTGCTACTGAGAAATTTATTGGAAAGTTTGAAGACATTTCAAATAACAGGTTATTTTGGTTTCTAAAGTAAAAGCAGGGAGGCATTCTGTTTTGTGAAAGGAGGAAGGACTCAGGCCAGAAAACTTGTATGCTATGGTTAACTGGTTCCCAGCCTCCGAGAATCTTGTTTTCCATGGTGTAAAACTTACTCAGCATCAGGATAAGGGATAACGACTCTATGGATATACAGAATCCTTCACCATGGTAAAACTCGCCAACCCGCTGTATACTGAGTGGATTTTGGAGGCCATTAAAAAAGTAAAGAAGCAGAAACAGCGTCCTTCAGAAGAAAGGATATGCAATGCAGTGTCTTCCTCCCATGGCTTGGATCGTAAAACTGTTTTAGAACAATTGGAGTTGAGCGTTAAAGATGGAACAATTTTAAAAGTTTCAAATAAAGGACTCAATTCCTATAAAGATCCTGATAATCCTGGGCGAATAGCACTTCCTAAACCTCGAAACCATGGAAAATTGGATAACAAACAAAGTGTGGATTGGAATAAACTGATCAAACGGGCAGTTGATGGCTTGGGAGAGTCTGGTGGCTCAACTTTGAAAAGTATTGAACGTTTTTTGAAAGGTCAGAAGGATGTGTCTGCATTATTTGGAGGCAGTGCTGCCTCTGGCTTTCACCAGCAATTACGATTGGCTATCAAACGTGCCGTTGGCCATGGCAGGCTCCTCAAAGATGGACCTCTTTATCGGCTCAACACTAAAGCAACCAGTGTGGATGGGAGAGAGAGTTGTGAGTCTCTTTCCTGTTTACCTCCAGTGTCACTTCTTCCACATGAAAAGGATAAGGTAAGAATGGTACATGCAACAGTGTTCATAGAGCTGATGATACAGGATGCTGCAAATCCACCTGTCTAGGAAGTTACATAGAAGTTGCATTCAAGTTTTGTGTTTGGGGACTTTTGTGGAGTAATCATCTCTGGTTTATTATTGGTGTTTTCTAGCTATCTCAATCAGAACTTGAGAGATGCTGATTGTTCTGATACTGTGGAGTATTTGAAGCCTAAGATTAAAAGTGTAGAATGTTGATCTACCTAAAAGAAAATATTAAGATTAGGATTAAAAAGTGACATACAACATTTTTTTCTTTTTAGAGACAGGGTCTCACTCTGTCACCCAGGCTGGAATGCAGTAGCATGATCATAGCTCACTGCATCCTCAAACTCCTGGGCTCAAGCAATCCTCCTGCCTCAGCCTGCCTAGTAGCTGGGACTACAGGTGCATGCCACCACACCTGGCCAGTTTTAAAATTTTTTGTAGACACAGGGTCTCACTGTGTTGCCCAGGGTGGTCTCAGACTCCTGGACTCAAGTGATTCTCCTGCCTCAGCCTCCCAAAGTACTGGGATCATAGGTGTGAGCCAGAGAGCCCGGCCTACAACTTTAAAACTTTTTGAAGTAAAGTTTCTTATGTTATCTTATTGCTGGAAGTTGATGAGCAGCCAGATGCTGGAGAAACAAGCATCCAGATGCTAGAATTCAAAACAAGCAGATGACTCTAAGAACCTGTCTTTTTTCATTTTGTTGCAGGTTATCATTAGACAGGAATGAGACAGATTCTTATGACCCAAAGTAGTAGCTAAGCAGACTCAGCCATTCTTCTTTCTGCTGTTTGTGTTATAGCTTTCTATCATGTGTTATGGCTTTGCATTTGATGAAGTCCTAAATGTTGTTATTTTTTTGTGTATGACTGCTGTAGTTACATGGGACATGAATGCAGCATCCTGTATTAGAAAAGTTCTGGAGAGTTGGGAGTTTTGATGCACGGGGGTATACCTTACTCTATTGTGTGTTTTATGCTGTTATTTTATGTAGTTGAAAGTATGTCTTCTTAACAGTAAATTATAGCACTTAGATATTTGGGGATGAGGAGAATTTTGTTAGTAGACGTTTTTTACGCTGACCCAGTAGCTTAGCTGTACATTTATTTCAAGTGCCTTGAATCATAGTTCTTTGGAGAGTGGTAGTGCTTTAAGTTGATTCATACCTTAGTATATATTGGTTAGCAAAGTAATCTTCATTTTGCTTAAAATCATGGAGGCTACTTCTGGGATGAGAGAATTGTAATGTTAACACTGAATGCATTTTAAAACTTTCAAATTTGATCTAAATTTATTGTAGTTATTAACAGCCCACTGAATGAACTACCTGTAGATTTTTCTTTAAATAACAATTGAAAACCAGTAGTATTTTTCTTTGATGAAATTTTTAGAGAACTATTTTAGGGTTCAGTTTTCCCTGTGAACTTTAAAATAGAAACATTATCGTACTGTTATTACCCTTAAAATGATTCTCATAGAATTATGAATTGACAGAGAATCCCATTCATAAAATAGTTCTATATCATTTAAGCATTTAAGAGTATTTAAAAATTCAAGGTGGACAAGTAACTAAATTGCTTTATTCTGTAATTCAGTACTATAAGAACTCTTACCTGTAAGAATTGACCACATGTGACTGAAGTTAAACTATGATTAGATTTCTGTAATTATTATAAAATGATCTAACAGGTTGACTGCATGGAAACAGGAAATGATTTATAGTTAGATTAATTCAGGGCCATACGTGTGAATTAGGTATTAAGTTCTTGTTAGAACACCTGGGTATTTGCCTTTATAATAATTTGCTTTGCTTAAATTACATATTTTAATTTTTAAAAGTATTAACCATACATAAAATGTCAGTTCATATTTTTAAAGATCTCCAGTGTGGTACAGTGCAGGACAAATCCAAGTCCTAGAACCCTGGGATTTTACTTTTGAAGGGTACTTTGAGAACTATCTAAGCCAACAGTCCTTATTATGCAGCTGAACCTTTGCTGAGGCCATTTCATAGCACCTTTGCATTAAGAAATGTTTTATTCTGTAGAGATCTGCTGGTTTGCTTTGGTTAGAAATACCTGTTAGGTTACATAGCTTTAATATATAATGTTAACTGAGGGAACTAAATTTGGAGTATACATGTAGGGAAATTGAGTTTCTTTGAGCAGACTTCTATGTGTGCTGATCTCATTGGAAACCAATTTCATGATAATATCTATGAAATTAGAGTTGATGAGATCTGTTCTATATTTTTAAGTGGAGGCTTATTTTCGGTAGTGAATTTCCTGAGTGACTTTCCCCAAAGATAATGAAAAGCTCACATTCAGAATCATAGTACAGCGAACTCTAGGATAAGGAATTATTTCCCCTTTTATCAGATAATATGTCTATACCTTTTATTGTATTTTAACTACTTTCCTTCCTCTCCTACAAACTACACAATCAATTCCTATGCAGAATTAATGGCTTGCTGTTACGAACCTAGATTTTCTCAAAAAAAAAAAAAAAATTATCCAGAGTTTCACTGTAATGGAGAAAGGAAGGTGTAGGCCAGAAGTGATCTATTTTAGGCATTAATTAAATCAGCATATAGTTATTGAACATCTGCTGTGGGTCAAGCACTCTGCTTTGATCTGAAATGGCTTTATCTTTTCTGGAATGCTAATACAGGTGTATCTATTGACCTGGTCTATTGTGGGGTAAGAGAAGAAATTCAAGGACTATATGGAATGACCTGTGCAAGTTCCTCTTTTTCCTCTATCAATTCTAACTTTTTATTTATTTTTATGATATTAACCTTGGAAGGAACTGTGGAACTGTATGTTAAATTTTCAGCTGAGTGTTTTTTGTTCTTTTTGGGGGAGATCAACTGTGTAGAAATATTTTTAAGAGGAGTTTTTGTGAAGTCACTTCAACTTCAGTGTGTTATTCTCACATGGATGAGTAGTGAGGAGAATCTGTGGGATACTGTGATTTAAAAGTTTTATGCATGTTGAAAGGGAAATTTCTAAACTAGCTTTTAGGTGTGGTAGTGTGTGGTAGAGTTTATTTAACTTAAGTGTTAAATAATGTGCCAGGCATTACTTTAATGTTGTACATGTATTAACTCATTTAATCCTCATACAACTAACATAGCAGTACCAGCAATGAAGTAGGTACAGATGAAGAAACCGGTGCATAAAAGAGATTTAGTAACTTGCCCAAGTCACACAAATATTAGGTGACAGAGCTGGGATTTGAATTTGGGCATTCTGGCTCCAGAGACTTCCTAACAGCTATTACACTGACCCCCTCTTGGGAGTTGTGATGTATAATGGCTTATCACTGCAGTCAAGTACAAAGTTGTCATTGTCCTTGATGTTACTTCATAGCACATTCCCTAAATGTAAAAGGTTGCATTTCCCCCACACCCTTTCACTGTTTGTGTCTCTTTTTTTTCTTCCATGGAACAAATTTCAAAACTGACTTGGACCACTGATAAGAATGTTTTAAGAACCAGAGATCTTATGAATGATCTAGTTTTGTTCAATTACAGAAACAGAGATTCATCTATATGACATTTTGCTTTATCTTTTTTTCCTAAAAATAATTTCTGTGCTTACTAATTTTCAATTGTCATTGAAGTTTTCTGATTGCAGGTTAGGGATCTATTGCATAGCTGTTAACAGAGGGCTCTAATTGGGGGCACAATATTGCTTTCCTTGAATGTAGGATTCTAGGTGAGGAGGATTATGTGTAACTGGTTTAAATACCAACTTCCTCCTTGTAAATTTCTTTCTTTTTGAAATATAGATATTTCTGTAAGGTAATTTGTTCATTTACTTCTCTTATTCATTGTTTATTCAACAAACATTTGAATGTCTGTGAACAAAGTGCATTTAGGTCTTGTGGGGTATTAAGGCAGACAGAATAGAGAAATGAAATAAATTTTTTGAAACTCTTTTAGTTTATGAAATATAACTTTGTTACATTGTATTTTTTCATAGCAGTTAAGCATCATAAATCTTTGAGAAATATGTTTCTTAGGTGAGGCTTGTTACTATTTGAGATGGTCCATTTAAAATGCTAATCTTTATATACTGAGTCTGGGAGGGATGTTCCTTTCAGGAATAATTTTCACCTTGATTTCAAACCTCTGGTTTCATTTTACACACAGAAATTTACTTGAATATATAAAGTTTGTGTTCTATATTACTAGTCCAGAAAAGTATGCTCTTTCATAGTAATCAGCCAAATCATTGAAATTTTGCTATTCTGTGGAGTAGTATTTTGAACAGAATTATAATTTGCTGAAGCATTCAATTGGAAAGGGAAGAGAAGATATTGTCAACTAATGTTATTATTCAGCTTATTACCTAGCTAGATAGCTTAGAGCAGAAAGATTGAGTGATAAATCTCTTGCCTTCTACTATGAGTTGTATTGCAGTACAGTAAACTGTTAGTAGAGTCCAAATTATTTGGTTTTACTGGAATTGATACTTTAAATTCATAGACTAAATGGGGCTTTGATAGGATCTTAGATTTATTAGAATGGAGATGTGTTTTTAAGTTACTGAGAGTTGAGAGTGGTGACTCTTGATTTAGCTATTTGGAAATAGGTTATTTTTGTTTTTGTTTTTTTGAGACAGAGTCTTCCTTTGTTACCTGGGCTAGATAGAGTTCAGTGGGATCATCATCATCCTAGCTCACTGCAACTTCAAACTCCTGGGCTCAAGCTATCCTCTTGGTTCAGTCTCCTAAGTAGCTGGGACTACAGGCGTGTGCCACCACACCTGGCTAATTTTTCTATTTTTTGTAGAGACAGGGTCTCTTGCTTAGGCTGGTCTCAAACTCCTGGCCTCAAGCCATCCTCCCACCTTGGCCTCCCAGAGTGCAAGGATTACAGGCTTGAGCCACCGCACCCAGCCTAGAAATGGTCTTTATAGTAAAATTGCTTCACATTTTACATATTAGAAAAGTGGTATTCTGT